CTTTGACACAATCTGTATTGTTAAAAGCGCTATATAAATAAAGGTGACTTGACTTGATCGGTTGAACCTGTTGATTCATTTTTCTAAAGCCTGTTATATATACTTTTAATCCCAGCTGATAGAAAAAAATCACGAAATATAAATAGGTGTAAAATCACTGCTTTGGTAAAGCATTTGATCCCATACTTAAATGTTTTACATTTTTATTAAAACACTGTAAAAAAAAAAAAAAAAATAAAAAAATATATATATATATATATATATATAAATATATTAATTTTTTGAAAAGATAAAACATTTCTAATGCTGTCCAGCAGCTATTGTTTGGTGTTTGACTCGGCGCTCTCACAACCTGTGGCGGAAACAAAAAGAAACATTTTGTGCAAAGGGTTTAAACAAGGTTAACCATACAAAATTGTATGACCGTACAGAATCAAAGCCAACTTTATTTAAAATACACACTTCCGGTTCATTTAAAACAGCTTACCAATTCAAATATTCTGGCCATCTGCCAAAGTGGATAAAACAGCAAAAGAATGCAATGTTAAAATGTTTGTGCAGTTGCCATTTTGGGGTAGGCGTCACTCTTTAGCTACCCTAGACGTAAAGAAAATAACTTGAAAAAGGATACAGTATTTTAAAATATAAATACATCTAACGACATGCACTCACCTTCGAGACCACCGGCCATTTGAACTGGCGGTAACCGTGTCGCAGGTATAAAATCCACAAGTTTATATCCCTGGAAAAAGAATGAATTGATTTCAAACCAAAATAAGGAGAGAAACAAAGACATGTAGCCAAGCACAGAAAGTGTATAGTCACAAGTGTCTCATGCACCACTGAAACAAAAGACTACTTTTACAACATAAAATCAGATACCGAACCTTACTTAAAACACAGTTGAAAACTTGCTCACTGTGATAGTTCGGCACTCTTGTTTTCACCACAACCACGAAAACAACCAAGCAACAAAATCTTTACACTGTTACCTAATTGTGATGAGCACAAATAATTCACATGAAAAAAAAAAAACAACTAAAATTCTCCTCTTACCTACCAGTCTGGTATGTTAAATACCTTACTTTGGTAGCTGTTTCTCGCTAGTCTTACAACAGCAATCATCTGTTCTCAATAAGACTGCTGGCGATTCCAATAAGCTAGCCTCTCAGCTGGCTCATCCCAATGGCTAGCCTCTCTTCGATGGACCGCTTCTGAAAAGTCTCTTCTCTTTGGCTAGCCTTTAAGCTGGCTCCTCCCGATGGCTAGAATCTTTGCTGGCACTTCATCAGATAGTCTGACCGCTTACGTGCAAGATTGCCTTCAGGTGGCAATTCAGAGTTGCTAAAAATCCTCTCATGGATTTCATTCCCCAGCGGAACTCAAACAAAGAAACATCGTTTGTCCAAGACATGAACCAGGACGTGTGCTAGGCCCAATTATAAATATAAATGAACAAGCTAATTAAAGTTTTGCTGAAATTCGTAGATCTCGGATTTCTTTACAGGTATTTCACGTGAAACAAACCAGCGTTACTTTAATTATCCAGTAACCCAGGCTAATGAATGCTTTAACCAAAGGTCAAAGTGACTTTAGGGTAAAGCTTTAAATCTACATCGACAAATACCCAACAGCACAATCAATCATTCATGCATCTGGGCGATTATTCACAATTTACCAAATCAAAACACTGACGAATACAATGAAATAAAAAAACTGGAGCGGTTTATTTAATCTTGATTGGTGACTGTTCACATTAAAAAAAGGAAAAGAAATGTAAAAGAAAAAAGACAGACACCCTACTGGTTCAAGAGAAAAGCCAACAACAATTAAACCCTGCATAAAATCTCATTGGAATGCTTTGCACTTCACAGACAAAAAAGGGAAAACTACAAACTAGTAAATGTCTTCCAGGACAAGAGTACTTTTGAAACGTTCCTTTTTTTTTTTTTTAAACACCTTCAAACCCCCCAGCCCCATTCCCACATGATTTTCCTCCCCTATTGAACACGTTCTCTTCGTATGGCAGACGTTAATATCGCCACCACACTGCTTGGCTGGGCAGATCTAGGTGTAAACCTGCTTGCTTCTCTCCTTTCCCTGTCATCTCTCTCTGGCTCTCCTCTAAGTACTGTGGCCTGTTGGACAATACGGAACATAAATTCAGTTACACTTTGCAACCTTGCTTTGTCTTTATCAAGAGCTGAACTGGAGGGGAATGAGAAGTAGTAGCACAGAAGCAAACCTTCAGGTCAGCTAAGACTGCATGGTTAGGACAATGGGGATGAGTTTGCATGTGCTGCAGCCAGAAGGTTTGGAGAGCAACTCAAAATCAACATTCGTCTTGTGATACTGGATCTTAGCTTTATTAGATTTGAAGGTTTGCTGCTGGATCCCCTGCACTGAAAACTCAATAGTTTTACTCATTTACCGACCAATTGAAGACTGATTACGGGCTAACATTTGCATTGGTTACGCATCTTATGAGATATTTGGACATGGATGAGCTAAAAACAAACTCATGGCTAACTTCAGAGGCCTCTTCCATATGTGGGGCAATTCTTACCCTGGAATCTAAAACCTTCGCCCACCAGAGCCTCCTCCATAACCACCACCAGAGCCTCCTCCATAACCACCTATAAAAGAACCGTGATTGAGACATCTGACATCTCAAAACATTTCAGAGTGGAATGGAAATGGTCTGAATTCAAATGTACTTATTCAATAACTCCACAATGTTCACTCACCGCCATATGGGCCACCACCGCTCCTTCCACCACCTACGTAGTTTCCTCCCTTCATTGGGCCGTAGTTGGAGGAAGATTGATTGTTGTAGCTGCCAAAGTCGTTGTAGCCTCCGCCACCTCCAAAGTTGCCTGCAAAAATACAGTGATTCTTTAAAATCTTATTTGCTACAGAGGCAGCACGGCAGAAGAACTTTACTCGCACATCCTATAACTGAACACAAAGAATAAAAAATAAAAAAAAGCAAACCTAGGAGAACAAAAATAAGGTAACTGACCTCCTCCGAAGTTGCCTCCACCACCACCATTGTTGTAGTTATCATAGCCACCGCTGCTGCCACCGTAGCCTCCACCCTGGTTTCCATAGCCGCCGCCGCCACCACCTCCGCTGCCTCCTCCATAACCACGGTTGCCACCATAATTAGATCCACCTCCACCATAGCCGCCTGATAAAGAGATGGGAGATAAACATTACACAAGCACTGAGTGGCCGTAATCAGCTTCAGTGACCGTATCAGAGCCACACTGCACCGCAGACGTGTGCAGTGTAAATTTTCTAAGCATTAATAGTATGGAAAGCCCCTTATACTGGAGCACGGCCACTTATGAAGTGTTTCTTGGAGGTTATAGTACATTGAAGAATGATCATATGACTTTTTACATACGCCATGTGACCTGTAAATGCGAAAAAGCCGTTTCCATTGCAGTTTTGCGAATTATTCCTTTTTCGCATTGCCTGAAAAACCACCTCATGCTAGCGTAAAAACTTTTTTGCGATATATGGGTGTTTTTGCGAAATTGACGCGTTTCCATTAGGCGTATTTTCAATTCGCTATTTGAAGGGTAATGGAAACGCGCCTATGGAAACACTGTTGAACGGTCAAGTGTCATTTGAATCACATTCTTCAAATTTTTCTACATACCATTCCCTCCATAGCCATTATATCCATCGCCTCCACTGTAACCACCTCTTCCTCCTCCATATCCACCGTCAAAAGGAAAAACATTTCAAAGTTAATAACTCAAAAGTAACACTGTGGACCAGTAGTTCTCAAAAAGGTGGGTCAGTGTGTTATTGAAATTTTCCTTACATCCTAAATAATAATTTCCAATTATTCCATGATGAAATATGCATAGTACAAAGTGAAATCAAGTAGGATTAATCTAACCACTTTGGGATTGATACAATTATGCACATTTGAGGATGTCTGCATAATTTGCTAATTTTATGTTTAGTGAGGTACGGACTTTGAGAATCTCTGTGATAGACCACTACAAACTATAAAACAGAAATGAGAACATATGCAAAATTGTACCTCCATATCCTCCACCTCTGCCAAAGTTTCCACCACCACTACCACTACCTCCTCCTCGCCCGCCTATAAGAGTTTAATGAAAAAAGTTATTTTAGTTCAGGTCTTTCGAACAAAACATCAAAGAGCTATGCAACAAATCAAGACAGCTAAATAAAAAATTATGCTGTAGCACATTTTATTTTCCCTGAGGCCTGTGTTATTGCATTCCTTTTCCAGCGTGTAATTCTTACCTCGTTGATTCACTGACACCCTGTTCATTTCCTCTCTGGAGAGAGCTTTCCTGACTTCACAGTTGTGTCCATTCACTGTGTGGTATTTCTGTACTGTGGGTTAAATGGAAAAAAATGAAGACTGTGTAAAAAGAGACACACACAAACACATACATACATACATACATTTTACATTACATTTAACAGTACACGTAGCAAAAGGTGTGTATATATATATATATATATAGAAAGTGTTAGAGTTAGAGGGTGAAATAAAGGTGGAACAGATGTGTTTTTAGTCGCTTCTTGAAGATATATACATACACACATATATATATGGGGGTTTTCAATCTCCATAACTGAGGCCAATGCGATACACATCTCGATGCATAGCCAACGTTCTCGTTCAAACTCACGTATCAGGACTCGATATAAGGACTGCCCAAAGGCACAAGGCGAGCATAAAAGACGCTCGGGATTGTTTGCGGAACAGTCGAGCGCTGTGTGAGAAGTTTTCTGCGCACACATCTGAAGCGCACACAGACAGACAGCCGCGTCTACACCGCGCGAATACTAAATTGAGCTCTCTTCTGCTTTTTTGTGCATGGATGAATACATACAGACAAAATTACATAAAAATGTAATGCGCGTTTTGGCGAATATCCGATGTATTTATTTTCTGCTATTGCTTGTAATTTGGTTATCTGTAGAATAGACTTTTAGCACTGAGCCCATAGTAGCAGCCAGAATTATTTTTCCAATTGTTTATTTTCTTTATTATTAAAAAAAAAAAAAAGGTGTAGGCCTATTTATTTGTTGTGAATGTCCCAACTGAGGTACAGGTTGTGAAAATTTCCTATAAATGTTCATGTTATATATTTTGGTTGCATTTGTGAGTTAATAAAAATGTAGATGGTTGTTTAAAATAGAGATATAATATCATAATATCGATATATCGATCGATATACTCCTGTATCGAATACACATTTTTGAGGTATCGGCAAATATCGTATCGTTGGGTATGAGAATCGATATCGTATCATGACGAACCATCCGATTTACACCCCTAATATATATATTTATTTATGGCTCCACGGGCACCGGAGCTGATCGCGGCCACTCTAGTCAATGCTTGTGCTTATACCAGCCAGCCGCGACACGTTTCTGAAGCGGCTCTCTGCTCTGCTTCGCTAAAAATAGCCTTTTGTGAGTTGTCACAGCGTGGATGACGGAACAAAACCTCGTTGGAGCCGTAAGGGGTAACGATAACATAATACGCTAAACGTGGGCTGCTTTTAAATGAACATTTATTTATAAAACAAAATATCTTCTTTGGCCATATTAGCCTACTCAATAGCATTAACACAGGCTTTACTCCTTTTTAAACTGTATCTGGAATGTCACCGTTTCTGTCACTGCAACTTCCCGATCAGGCGAACGAACACACACACACACACACACGAAATCGTCTGCCTCATGAAAAAAAAAATGTAGTTAATATTTGCATCATTTATGATTTATTTTATCCACTTGCAAATAATCAGAATGCATTTTTTATTACCCGACCCGCAGATTATCCGCAGCGCCCGTGGATAAAGGAAAAGCAAAATGTTTGCAGCGTTTTCATTCTCTGCCAGCAGGAGGTGCTTTAAAGTGGGAGAAACAGAGGTTTCCCCAGTAACAGCTGTACACAAAGCAGCGCTGAACTCACACACGCTTTATCAGGCATATAACATGCAAGATGAAATGAAAATGACATCGAAAATTTTCTAAAGATGGTATTCCTTCAGAAATACAGTGATATAAAAACCCCCGCTCCTCGTTTTGATTTTTAAACGTAAACAGTACGTGCTCATGTTTATTCAACGAAGCCTTTTGGAAAATCCTTCAGTTTTGATATTGTGGCGAGCGCCACAAATAAATAAATGTATGGGAAACACATCCCACAGCACAACCACCTGAGCCCAACTTCAGGCTACTCATCACCTTAACGGTGTGTTTACACCAATCTCACTCGCGCTAGATTACTCGCGGGATGTTTTTCGTGTCACTCGCGCGAATAAAAACAGCGCGATCAACCATGGTGAAGATAACTACAATCGCTGTTTTGGCTTGTCTCCTCTGAGGCTGGGACTCTAAACAGTGTTCTGTGCTCATCTGTGCAGACAAACACAGAACAGTTAGCATGTTTTGCTCAAACTTTCACCAAGGCATTAGAGCTGCTACACTGCTGTCGCTTGTGAAAACACAATAACGGCGCCGTGGGTGGAAACTTACAGATTAAGGGGCACAATCGCTGTTTTGTACCTGTTGTCAAAAAGTCCCAAATACAATGGAAAGCCAAACGCAGACGTGTCTGGGTTCACAGCACCATCCAGAGGAGGATGAATAACGTTAGGATCCTGTATTAATGTGTGTGTAACATTTTACTACTATATATATACACACTGATATTTCTATTATTTTTATTACTGATAGCAGCATCTCTGTAGCCATGCTAATAAAATACAACTACCACTACAACTGATTTGAATTGTTTTCTACGCTCAAGACCTATATAATAACAGACGGCTGCAATAATGCTCTCTTACATTGTCTGATTCAACTGGACGTGTCAAGAAATTCTGCGCTGATTGGCTTGCGCGATAAGGCGTCATGCACATTTTCCGCTGGAGTTGAAACTTTTGAATTTGCGCGAAAGACGCGATTGAGGCGAATATCGTGCGTTCGCGGCAAACGCGTTGCGCATTTCGCGTCGCCCGGCGCGAATTCGCCTCTATTCGCGTCTTTGCATTGACTTAGTATGTAATCTACTCGCGCGAATAATTACATTCGCGTCTGGTGTGAACACACTGTAACACGATCATCAGACATAAAAACAGTATCAAAACTATGTAACATTCTGGAATAAAATGTCGACCAATGAAGAGGTAATAATAACTGTCAAGCTTTGGGGTGTTGATCGACTTCATCTACATTTTGATCATCATTCTGAATCCAATTCATAGTCTTTTTTCAGCTTTTTGTTCAAAATGTTGTTTATTTCTTTATTTTTTT